CAGATTAACCCATTACTGGGCCCTAGGCAAACGTGCACTTCTAGGCCCCTACCTTGTAGGAGAAAGAAGTGGGTTATTTATCCAATGCCTCTTCTATCCTTGGCTCTGTTTGGATTGGTCAACTGAAACTCAGCTGTGCACGAGGACTGTGCCTACTCATCCACTGGTGTGGCTTTGCACAAGAACTGAAACAACTTTACTCACTTTAGAGAGTGGCACCATGGCCTCATGTGCCAGGCTGCAAAGCCACTCACTCAAGTGACTGAAGTGCTTTCAGTTTGTGTGCAAATCTGCATTGGTAATAAAGCAAAACAAAATTGTTCCCCCCCTTGCCTCCACAAATTTGGGCTGTAGTCTTGTGCCTACTTTACCTATACTGGCCCTGGCCTCTCCAACACTGAATGTATGAAATCATACTACACAGGGTCTTTCTCTGCAATACTACAGCACTCATGGCTTGTCTATGCTTGAAATGCTAAAGCGGCACACACAACTGTGGCAGCACTTCAGTGTTCTTCCATCAGTATAAGTAATCTATCTCACCAAAAAGCAGTAGCTGGGTTGACAGAAGAATTTTTCCATCGATCTAGCATGGTCTACCCAGGAGTTAGACTGGCTTAACTTCATTGCTCAGGGGTGTGGATTTTTCACACCCATGAGTGATGTAGCTGGACTGACCTAACTTTTAGTGTAGGCCAGGCCCGGAATCAAGTGTTGTCATATACTGAGACTAGTGATAAAATCCTGAGAGTTGGCATGAGACGTAAATCTCAGCTTTCACATAAAGAAAGTTTCTAATCCTCGTGGCTGTAGAGAATAGCTTAAAAACATGAACCGTAGAGGCTCAAAAATGACAAGGTATGTATAAAGAACCAAAAATATATTGTTCTTAAAAATCTCATGATTTTTAAGTCAATGTCGATGTTTTGGGGCTGATGATTTTTGAATGACGGAGGTTAGTAGTGTTGAGACTGCTCTCTCTTGAATGGTGCAAACACCCTCTTCATTTCAGACAGGCTTCGCTACATATTAAGGCCTGTGGAAATAGAATACTGTATCCATAAAAGCTGTTGCACATGAAGAATATTTTCAGTGCAGATCTGGGAGTCAAGAGGGTCTTTGCAGCTTAAGTGTATTTTTGCACCAAAACAAATATGCGCTGGGTAACAAGCAAATGTGTAATAAATTTCAGAATGATATATTTTTATATGGTTTATAAAATAAACCAACAAAATAAATATGAATTACAGCTGATGTGACACCCATAAACATACCTGCACACCACGCAGTGAGTTACTTTGGTGGGTTTAAATTCAAACCTTATGTGTTATTCTTGTGTTTTGTTTTATTACTTATTTTAAAAGTGTACATATGCTACCACCAGACAGGTTCACAAATTAGGGCATAACACCATTAGTCAAGTAATGTTGAAGCATGGAAGAAATTCCTTTTTAAAGCCAAAAATCTACAGATCACTGTTTTCATTGAAAAGTTAAACTTAATTTTCCTATAATCTACAAGACATCCCCTTTATTTTGAAGGGATCTGGTTTTACAGCGATACTGCTCAATACTGCTGTAAATTATACCCAACATATTTTATTTACTGTCAGTAGCCGTTTTTATTCCTTAAACTCAGTGGACATGCTGAACAGTAATTTGGGCCAGATAAAAACAAAAAACAAACCACACCACAAACAGACCCAAAACATTAACTGTGCTGCAGCTAAGATACTCTGCGAGACAATCCAAGAACAGGGGGAGTAAAAAGTGAAGTCATGATACATGCAAATACTGTGATGTCATTTCTGGCATTAAAATGAACATTCTGCACAGGGACAAGCAGATCCAGGCCTGGTCAACAGCAATCAGATACTTTGGGGATTCAGAAAAAAAAAAATGATACCTTTATTACGCTCAAGAGCGGTCTTTTCATATAAAGTTTCACCAGCAAAAAGAACAAACTGACGTGATGGTACTAACATCTAGTTCTAGGGCCAACATATTAATTTGATATACGCTCATTAGAAATCATATATTTATCGTAACTTGGAGAAGAGGACTTTTGGAACTTGAGAGGATTTATCCAAGAATGAGCTACTTTAAACTGGCAACCTACCTGGATAAAACCTGAGAGTTTCTGCTCTTTATGTGGAGGAGCAAGTTGGAACTTAGCTTTAATTTTAGGCACGAGTAGTCATATTGATGTCAATTGGACTATAAACATGCTCAAATTTAAGCATGTGCTTAAGTGCTTTCCTAGATTGGGACCATAAGGGGTACAGAGAGAGGGGATGACAAGTGAAATCTTCCACCCATATATGGTAGAGGTTTGGGAAAGAATGAATAGGTTAAAGGGTGTAGAATGAGAATAAAGGCTAGTGTTAAAACTTTAAAAGGCTTCTTAGCATTTAAATTTTCAACTATCACTGTGAAGTATATTTGCTTTCTTTGATGGGGAAATTAATACATAGTTAAAGTTATGAATTTAAGTGGTTTTACTGTTAGTGCCTCATACCTGAGGCTAACCCATAGCACTGAGAGTAACAAATAAAGGCAGAGCATTAACAGGGCAGAGGCAAACTACTTATATGTAAACTGAAAAATGAAACATAGATCAGAGAGTGCTTACACAACCAGAATATTTCTTTTTAAAAAGGGAGTTCAGGTAGTTGTCATTTTTAATGTGTTAAGCCCTGATTCAGGAAAGTATTTAGTTGAGGCTTCATGTTCTTGAAGTTAAGCACCTGCTGAAGTATCTTCCTCAACTGGGGCCCTGATAGCTGCACAGTCAAATGACAGCAGGGGGAAGGAATCACACTATGTTTGCTTGTATTCTTATATTATATAAAAAAAGAAAAGTAGTATTTCACTGGTGCCCAAGTACTTGTGAGGGCTTTATAACACCCATGTGATGTTAAATATGCCATTTTACAAGATGTATATTCTTCTTGGTAGTCATTTGATGCTTTGTGCTATTTTGGACATAAATGTAATGAGATGATGAAACACAGAGATCTTTTAAATGTAGTTACCTTTTGATTGAATACCTCCTGCTTAGCTCCCCCACCCCACCCCTTTATACTTAAAATTTTAACACAGAAGTTTTGTTTTGTTTGGTTTTCTGTTTTGGCAGGCCTCCTTCTTTCCTCTACAACTCCAAACGTTTGCAAACAACATCTGCATTGACAAGATCAGGAACTTTCATTCAAAAAAGTTACCAGAGAAGCCCCAGGTGGGGAAAAATGTACAATGTCCCTTTAAAAAGCTGGCTTTGCAGAAGGCTGGATTCCCACAGTAAAAGCAAACAAAAGGCAATCAGGAAACAGTTGAGGGCAGAGACCCCCACATGTCTTTGAAGTCAATCAATCAGGTGGAACTCCTCAGCAAATCACAACTTCACTTCCTGAGAACCAAGTTTTATTCCTATCAACGGGGGGGAATCTGTCTCTCCTCTCCTAGTCTCAGCCAAGACAGAAAAGAACAAAAATCACCGATGTGATGCTTTAGAAAAATCAAAAACTTTGCCAGGAATCTGGAATACTCTTCCCAAAAGTGGACAGAAGAAGCCAAGAGACAAGTTTAACTAAGATCTCTGATTACTAACGTTGTCTTTGAAAAGCAAGTTGCAACAAAAAAACTGAAAACACCACCACCAGCAACGAGGATTAACCTCTGATGGGATGGGAGAGAGACTGAGAGACTTTTTTTTTTTAAAAAGGAGGAAAGATGGATGCACTAAGAAGAGAGAGCAACTCCGTTTGGAGAATGATCAGTGTCGTGGCAAGTTTTATTTGGGGGTAGTGGGTTGGGGTGGGGGTGTCAACCTCTACCCACCTCAGGGCCGGGTGTAGAAACACACTCGAGCTCATGATTGTAACACAATGTCTCAGCTGCTGCCTCTCTCTCTCTCACCTCTTATCTGCAGTTACCAGGAGCTGTTAAAGGGGCTGCACCCCAGCGCGTCATGGTGCCTGCCACCACATTAAGGACAAATCGTCACAGGGAAAGAATAACACCCCCCATCTCTGCCAACTCAGAGGAGTGGGGCGGCGAGCGGTGCAAATGCCACGCGTTCCAGCGGGAGCCAGGGGACCTGCCCCCCCCCCCCAGTTCGGCACCCAGCTCCGCGGATTTATTTGGCTTTAAACCAGAGGGAGCTTTTAAAAGAAGGCAATAAAAAAATCGCCCTGCTCGCCTCTACGTAACGCCCTGTCGAAAGCGGACGCCATATTTTGTGTTGCTGATGTCGACAGACACAGCGAAACGTAGACATGTTTTTTTTCCTTCCTCCTCCTCCTCTTCTCTGCCCCATTCACCCAAACTTGCATGGGGGAGGGGGCGGATGCGTTTAAACAAAATCCGATTTTCCCCCCTCCAGCCTCCGGCTTCTTCTCTCCCTTCTGCAATTTCCCTCTCCCCCCCCCAGCCCCCTTCCCCAGCTGAAGTTCCATTCACGAGCCCGTTTCGAAAGGCGCTAGCCGGGGAGGAAAAGTTGGGTCTGAGTGGCTGGCGATCGCCTGCTCTGGCGAGGGGCAGGAGCGCTCGCAAGTGCATGTGGTCAGCGAGGTTCAGGGGTTCGAGGGAGCCCTCGGCACTTCCCCTGGCGGGTCGGGGTTTTTGCAAAGGAGTGAGTGCAAAGGAAGGGAAAGGGGGGAGGGAGTTTCTTACCTGCGCCCAGGGCTTTAGGAGGCGGCGGCACGAACTTTCCCCCAGTGGAAGGGCTCTGCCTTTCGCCACGCTGGGGAACGTGGGAGCCGGCTGGGGAGCCTGGGCAACCCCCCTCCCCCCCCAACACGCACAAACACTAGCAAAAAAATAAAATATTTAAAAAAAAATACCTTCGATCAGTGGGGATCTACGCCAAAACCCACATGATCTCTGACGTCAGCATGCGTATTTGCATACGATACCACCAGCGGCTCTTCCACCGGGGTCCCTTTATTTGGGAGAAAGTTAGAAACTGAATTGACCCAGGCGCCTTTAAGAGTCTGATTATAAAAAAAAAAATTGCTCCCCCTCTGCGATCTATCCACATGTGTGTGGTGGGGGAGGGGTTCTCTCCCTTTTGGGTAACTTAAACGTCTATCGCTACCTTCAGTTTTTTTCTATTATTATTTAACTAGGAGTTGGCAGGGCCAGGAGAGAGATCATTGGATATGCCAAAACCTGCATCTACCTCGATCCTGCTAACGTTGTTCACAAGACCCCAAATTCTCCCACCGAAATAGAAAACACGCCTAACCACTTCCACTGTCTCTCCCCCCCCCCTCGAAAATATCCCAGCCCCTCCAACACATTCCCACGCAACTGCCCCCCGCCCCAACTCCGATTCTGGCACCTGGATCCTACTCAGTTTTGGCCCCACACCCTCCAAATGGTAACGCTAAAGAACAAGTGTAGACGCTCCTCTTACACAAAAAAAACAAACAAAAAACCCACCTGGATCCCAATGCATCCCACAGCGCCAGCGGCATAAATACGCAGATGTGGGCCTAGGACCGGGCACTGTCAGTGTTTGGTCCTAGTCCCCCCAAATGCGACCGCCCAAAGAGCAAGCAAGCAATAGCGGTTCCTGCTGTACCTTGACTATCCAGCCGAGGATGAACCGCACCTCAGATCCGGCATGTGGATCGTGCTGTATTTTTGGCCACAGACCCACAAAGGCTACTATCAGAACACAGAATAAGCCATGATTCTACCAGTCTCCCCCGAGTATCCCCCTGGCCCCAGCCCATCCTCCTAACAGAGACATGCAAACACTAATTTGACACCTGTATCTTGCTGGATTCCGCTGATATTTGGCGGCATACATCACACCCATTTTCCCGTCTACACGTAGTTCTGGCAGACTGGCATTTTGCAGCTTGGGGCCAAAAACGGTAAGGATCCAGTCTCGGGGGCGGAATTGACCTGCTCTTACCGCCCTCTTGTTCCAGGATGCATGGCGGGTGGTGTTTTGCTCTTTGTTTAGGCATTATAAATTGGGGGTCAAAGCCAAAATTGGCACGATCCAGCGTTTAACAGCACTGTTGGAGGAGTGCATCGAGGCTGGGTGTTATGGGGAGCAGCAGGAGCGGCTCGATTCGGTCTCTATTATGATGGTACAATTTGAGGTCTTGGGTACAAAGAATTGGCAGGATCCATGTTTTACCCAGCCGCCTTCGGGGCGCTCTCCTCCAGTGAGGTTTGAAGGTGGGGGACCCGGTGAAACCGACAGTGTCCGAAAATCCCCAGGCGAGACCCATCTTCTCTAAAAGTTCAAGGTGTCACTGATGAGCTCGGCAAACTGTTGATCCCGACCACGTGTAGCAGCCAGAGAAGCCGGTGAGAATAAGGAAAGAGGCGGCAGCATTGCAGAAAGGAGGCAGCATGCTAAACAGCCTGTGCGCATCATTCACACAGTGTTCAGATCTGCCTGAATTTTGTCTGTTAGTGAAACAAAACAGATCTGGGATGAGGCAGGAATGACAGTCCTGGCCTTTTCGGGCTGTGACTATCTGCATCTTGTGTACCAGCTGAAAACAAAGTTCCAATCATTGTTTACATTGTAAGGGCATTGATGAAACTGTCTTCCTTATAATAAATAGCTCTTTTAGAATCAGGTCAGGCTACCTGGGGAGGTAGGAGGTTTTTTTTTTTCATGCTCTACTTCTAATGTAGCTTTTTTAACCCTTTGTATTTTTTTTTAAACTTCAGATCACTCTTGTTTATTATTTCCTGGAAAATACTGTTTCTCGGTTAATGCCCGAAATTCCCATTCATCTACTATAAACAGAGGGATCCTTTCACCATTTAAAATTAAGATTTAATGTCTTTTTGGCTTTAAACTACAAGGATGTAGTGAGATAGGTTGCACACTATTTTCGATTTACTTAAATTCATTTAAAATTCATATTTACTGATTGCATCTGAGTTCAAAATACCAGCCATTTATAGCAAGCACAGGCTAATATGACTTGTGAGAAGCATGTTATCATCTGAATGGCAGGGGCACGTTATCTATTCTAAATTAATATTTTAATTGTGTACATAGAACTCTCCAAAAACCTGGAATCTAGACTTGGTTTTAGAACCACCCCTGAAGTTTTCAAATTGGCTTCACCTTAATAGTATTGTGGGGTGCATAATTAGAGCCCAGCTTGTACCTTTGAAACCAGCTGTACAACCTTGTTTGTTGAACTTTTTTTTTTTTTCTGTCTAGAACGGGGGATTGCAAGATGCTTGTATTCAAATGTTTGAAGAAAAGCACCACG